CTCCTCAAGGGAACTAATTCAACTTATATCACCATATTTGTCAAGTACAGTTTCTTTTCCTTGTTCAATACCAAACAAAATATTTAATTGCCATAAGTTTAGTGAACTTATTTGGTTTATTTTTTTTTTTATTCTTGTTTTGACAGGTAAAACAAATAATTGTGCCAAATTTCGACTTCACCCGAAATTGGGTGTGGGGGAAATATCGTGTGTCTATTTTAAACAGACAGTAAATAGACTTTGTAAAAATTGAATAATTTTACTATACATACATATTTGTGAAGGTTCGGTTACCAGACATCGTTGCAAACATTAAAGATATTAATAATAAAAAAAAAAACTTTTTGAAAGTATACTGACCTTACAGATCTTTAACCTAATTTACATTCCTAAATGCGAATAGTCACAATTTTGAATATTTATTATTATCAGTAAACCACACTCTATTTGCTAACGATCTATATTGCTCAGAACACGTTATAAAAATTAATCTTATGTATAATTAGACTTCTCTATGTATAAGAAAACTGGGTAGTTTCTTTAATTTGCGTACTTTTTCTTAACCTTTTGAACCGAAAAGATCGCTATATTTTAAGAATCGTCCTACATTAATTATGAAATACTTGTAAACATATCTTTCGTAACAGATTCTTTTATATTTTAGATGCATTAATATGTCTGGGCATGGAGCACTTCCTCCTGACTATATGTTTCTAAAGGCTCACAGCTATGTAGGAGAAATATCTTCGCAAAGAACCAAGAATACCACACTGGAAATAACACAGAATAGCTAAAAGGTTATTGATCTCTGCTACCAATAGCATGCTCTGAAATATAAAATACCTGAAGATTGAAATAGTGACAGTAAATAAAAAGGATATTAAATATGTATTTCTACATGTATTTCAATCAAACATAGCTACAAACATTGTAATTCTATGCGCGATGAGGTAGAGAAAAATATTGATTAGGACAGTTAAAATATTGATTACGACAGTTAAATTTTGACGAGAACAATACGTTTATTTAAAGGACACAAAAAGAATACAGGCATTCAACAGAAGGAGAGGACTGTGTTCTACAGATATTTCGTTGAATATAATCTCAACAATGAATTGCTTTAAAATGGCCAAGTGATAAAGCGCCCAGCTTCTTACTTCGAAATATGCAAGGCATCCTTGACTCATTGGTCATTGCGGAGGCCTTATTAACTGTCGGCCCTTATCATCACATACAATATAAGTGACGGCTTGAGGTAAATAAGACGAACCGTAAATAATGTTGTAAACCTGGTGGTGACACAGATGGGGGTAATGCTGTGCGTGTTCTTAGCCTTCCCAAATCGCCCCAGTCCAGCGCAGGACGAGCGGTCAACTGTGACCAGTGACAGTACACGCCAGTTCGGCAACGACCTGTGCGTAAATATTAAGCACGCAAGTCACGGCGATTGTGATCATTCTGAGTGGTCAAGAACGTGCCATCCGATTCTAGTAGGTCAGTAGAGACACGATATAAGAGCGAGTGTGTCAGAAAGACTGGACTTCACGTTACCTCGCTATGTGACCAGACGGGGACGAAGTTAGAGACAGACGGTGTGTGAAGTCAGGTGGAGCAAGGCTAGGTTTTGGACAGTTAGTGTGATGTTGTTGCCAACTGTACAGCATTTGTAATGTATTTGAAATTAAACTGACTGATACTTTGGAGCCCTGAGTTGTGAGGTTCTTTAAGTTCGTTGTGTCGTGTGGTGCAGTTGGAAGAGAGCCTGGATAGGAGGAGAGATCGTAACAATAAGATGAACTCTTTCCCGAAAAATGTGTAAAGAAAAATAATGTTTTCCATAGTGATAACTAGATCCTCAGGATTGCAAAGACACTCCTTCAGAAAACAGTACCAGGAAAAAAAGGAGAATAGGAAGACGGAGAAAGCTTTGGAAGACAAAGAATGGATGGGCCTGTCGCTGAAAGAGATTAGTCTCAAGGCAAAAAGAGAAGAATGGAGAAATACGGTCAACAGATCATATGTTGTGCCCTAACGGTTCAACAGACTAAGGGAAGGATGAAGGTGACCTGTGTTTATGAAGTCGCCAACTGCTTAACGTCAGAACGTCACAGAAAAAACAGAAACATGAATGGAGAGAAATATTTCTTCTTTCTATATTAGTGTGTACGTCAGAACGTCACAGAGAAACGTAAACCGTGAGAAACAGTGATGTTAGTAAAAGAATTGTTCAGAAGATACATAATAATAATAAAGCTTTTTTTCGAGTCTGAAGATCAATGAGGAATGCAGTGTTCCCCTTGGCTATGCAGCTCCAGCTGTGACCTACATAATTTGCCACACGTATCTCAGGCATAACCATTTTTTAAATGCACTTGAGCCTAAAATATAGAGGAATGGAGAAAGATGGTCCACAGATCTTATTTGGTGCCACAACGGTCAAACATACTGAGGAATAGTTGAAGGTGAGGCCTAAAACTAAAATACATTGTATAAATTGTACAAATTAATTATCTTAATACATTTGCAACCAAAATCTATGTTTGCAGTCTATGATTATGTCTACCAAATGTCATAGATTTACAAATTACACTATAGAACAAGGTTACAAAGACAGTTTGTGTGGAAACACAAACTTAAAATCGGCCCCCGAAGTGGTCCACCCAGGCAAGCTTCAATATTTTCAGAAAGAACATCCAAAAAAAATTATATCAAAGACAAATGAGAGATAAGAATGGAGAAAGAAGGTTGACAGATCTTGTGTAGTGCCCCAATGGTGCTGCAGATCAAAGGATAGGTGCAAGTGAATGCAAAGCTAGATGTGAACCTGGCCTAATTAGTTCCCCTTTCAGACCTTGTGGTCTATAGGGCAGATGATGTTCATCTGTTTTTGTGGCCTACGGTTAACGAGGGTGTCATGTAGCCAGCACAACGACCAACCGCCTTTACTTTTCCCCAACTAATGTCAGGTACCCATTAGAGCTGGGTAGACTCAGTGGCGCTCAAGTATTCCAAAGTTGAAAATCCCAGTCTTCACCAGGATTCGAACTCGGGACCCTCGGTTCAGAAGCTAAGTGCTTTACGGAGCCTCTCCTGGTCTTTACATAAGGTAATTGTTTTGAAAGGGCATAATTTTTATTCGAACTCTATTTGCATTTAAAGAAAAAGTTTAAGAAAATGAAGTTTATAAGATTACTATTCGTTTTAAATTAGGTCTAATTTATAATGCATACTAATTAGCTTTTTGTCTTTAAAAAACTGCTTGCATAACTGATTTTAAAAATTAGATTTTTCGCTTTGAGGAAAAAAAAAAGTAGCTGTTGCATCAGAACTTTGATTGGTCTAAAATATTGTGATGTCACTTTGAGGATGTTCTCCATGCACCAGACCATGAAGAAGGTCAGGAAGCTCAGGTGAAGAAGTGAGAAGGACTTTACCACCGTTGCAGCACAAACCAGGAGACTCGCATTTCCACCTTTTAGCTTGACAATACTCGCAGACAACGTCCATGAATCCAATGTCCACTGTTTTGTCAGATTCGTAATCTATGTTCTTCAGCCAAACCTGTTGTTTTCGCATGAGACGCTTTTCGTTAGTTGGATCGTACCTACGAACAGAAGATCTGTGAACATCAGGATGCGATTTTTGATATTTCGCGACAGCGTCTGTATTAACTTCAGGATGTGCCTGAGAGTATTTCGCGACAGCGTCTCTATTAACTTCAGGATGTGCCTGAGAGTATTTGGCGACAGCGTGTCTATAAACATGTGGATTTTTCTGGTTGTATTTGGCTGCAGCGTCACGAAGTTGTTTCCGTCTTGCTGCATCAGAGAATGTACCACGACGCCTGACACGCGTCCTTTTTACTGTTTCGTGGTTTGCCTCAATACTTGCAGGACTTGTGTTTAAGTGACATTCGGGATTTGCCAAGCGTTGTAAGCGTACAACCGGTGTCATCGACAACTTCTCATCTAGGTTTTGAGAGTTTAAACACTCGTAGACATCAAAATGTCCACTGCTCAAATTGTCACCTGAGAATCGAAGATGTTTGAGAGGCATTGGCGGTTGTCCGAAGGTGTAGAATATTTGGCCATTTCGATATACTTGAAAAAGGCAAGAAAACAACTCAGAGGCAGCCATCAACTCACAGGCAGAACCATAAGTTGAGGGCTTAAGCATTTCACTGTGATAGTGCTCCTGTGTTGTGTAATTGTCTCCCGTACCATCATCTGTCCACACCTTGAACCTGTCCCAGTTGTTGAGAACATACAACACAATGTCCCTTCGGACATCAGCAGTGAGTCTGATGTCGCCGTGCAATGTGTAGCACAGAGAATGGAAAAGGCAGGATCCATCAGGGGGCATGGAAACCACCCGGTAAGCCACAGTCCTTTGATCGATGGTGACCATCTCGAGAGACATGTTCAGTGGGGGTACGCTTGGAGCGATAAATGAAACGTGAGTGTAAAATACCAGCAGTCGAATGAATGAGTCGGGATATAACAACGCCAATCGTGGACGCTACCTTGCTGTAGCAGACTACAAAGAAGACCTCGATGCGCACACAGAAAGGTGACGCCGTCCCTTGTAACGAAGATACAACAAAAGCCAAGCGAAAAGAGTAAACCGCCGTACCAAGAAGCGAAGCCAGTAACAATCGTCGACAGAAAATTAAGAATGAGCCTCCCACATTTTTGCCCTCCTACGTATAAAAACACTAAAATAAGCAGGGAAGCCGCGTACCAAGTTTCGTGAAGATGGCTCCATAAATACGAAAGTTCAACATGGCGGACGTTGTCGACCGTTATGCGTACGATTGGGAAACGAAACCTGCTGCACTTTTGTAAGTAAGCTGTAGGGAATGCGCCTGCCAAATTTCACCCTTGTACCTACACGGGAAGTTGCAGAATTAGTGATGAGTCAGTGAGTCAGGGCTTTGCCTTTTATTAGTATAGATTATATACATATATACTATTTTTATTTAACTGTAAAGAACTTACTTCCAGTAAAATGTATTAATATCTGTGAAGTGTTCAAAATAACATTTAGATATATGTTTTTGAGACTCTAAATTGCAAAACAGAAAGGCTTAACATTAAAATTAATACAATATTCCTAAAAGATTTAATCAACAAATCTTTTTAATAATTATCCACTTCAGATACTAGAAACGTCGGCTACAATTTATTATCATATATTTAAAATTACTTTGCATTTCTGCATCTATATGTATTGTATGACTTTCTATCTTTATAAGAGAATAAATATTTGTTGTTTCTTTTTAAATAGTTAGGAAATTGCAAATGAAACACGCGCAATTTAAAACACTATCACTATGTTGATGTTTTCATTTAAATATCTAACTACTTGTTTGTTGATAGGCTTCGCTCTTCTTAATGAAAATAGTTTTTCTCTCTTTCTCTTATTTTCATCTCGGTAAAAGAAACACTGGACGGTCCAGTTAAATGCCACCAGTTCATTCCCTTGTGTGATGATGTACCTCCCCATTGACCATTTAGATTAGAACGATGACAATCTGTATACCACCAGGCACCTGAATAAAGTTCTGCACAGTTTAAGCCTCTGTGTTCATCGTTATCTCTATCAAAAGTACTAAAGTACATGTTGTTATGATAAGATAAATCATCTCCAGCATTCCCTGAATATTTTCCTATCTTCAGTTTATATTTCTCAGTCTCACTCAATACTTTAAAGTCTTTGTATTGTGCAAAGTATGTCTTGTTGTTGTATTCTAAAATCTATTCTTAAATCATATTGTCCAGTAGAAGTTAAGTTAAAAATATTTTCATTTCCCAGATAAAATTCACCAATGTTGTAATCTCCAAAGCCGTCACGATACTCCTTCCAGCCTCGATAGAAATCTACTTTTCCGTTGATTCTTCTCTGAAATATGATCCATCCACCACCATCTGTCTTTGTATCACACATGACCTTTAACCCGGAAGCTAATGTCACCTCCACGCGTTCTTTCTTATAGATGATACCACGACATGACTCCGGTATTTAAGTTTTCTGGAATTCTTGTAATAGAGATGTGTAATTTGTTTTTCCTGAAAGTAAATAGAAACAGTTCTAAAATTATTATCTTCGAAGTTAACATTTGATGCATGCAGTCCATCGGACAGGTACATAACGTTTTGTCGCAGCCTTTTAGCAGCTCAGTTTTTAGTGCAGATGTTTCACAGTTCAAGAGATGTTATGGGGATAATTTAAATATTTTATAACAAACAGTTGTTGTTTTTTCTTACTATATTATAAAGCATGTGTTAGCCCCTTTGCTTATTTTACACATACGAAACATAGAGATGTTTGTTTTACATATTTCGGATGTTCCTTCAGAGTTAAAGATAGTTTACTTCCTAGTCCAAACCTCCCGCAGGACGACGGGGGATGGGAGCGGGCAGGGTTTGAACCCAAGACCATCGATAAATCCAAACGACAATCTAGCGCGCAAACCGCACGACCAGGCAGCCATATGCATTATTCTTTTCAAGGACATAAAAACAAAAAAAAATAATATGACCAATACATTTCTCGCTAAAAAGTATGCGTGAAAAATGCCATCACGCCAACTATAAACCTATAAACTATGTCAATAGACACAAAAATACAAGTAAAAAATTAATAAAAAAAACACTAGTCTACCGGCGGCGTCGCTATTTTGCAGGGCCGGCATTAGGCCACTTCAACGTAAGCGATCGCAGTAGGCCACACAATTTCATAGGACCCGCGCTAATTATAGGTGTATAGATTTTTAAATTAAACCATTTTATAATTTATAAAAGATTTTCCTCGGCCTCCTGTCGATTAAAAATTATGTTTCTGATTATGTTAAGCAAATGTGTAAATTTACTCAGAGTTTATAAAAGGTAGGTATTTACATCTAGACTTAGACAACGGTAAACTTAATGTTCTTGAAAGTCTAATTATATATAAAACCAGGTGACCGTGTGAATTCATTTAAGAAAGATATTTACCAGAACTCATTTCTGAAACCCTTTTTTTATGACGAAAATGATCGAGCGATCAGGAAACGACTACAAATCTGAAATGTGCTTTTTATGATATATTACCTGGAAATGTCATTGTACAGAGCAATTAGAATAGAAAGTCTCTTCAATATTATAATAGAAAGTCTCTTAGTGATTAGAATACAAAGTCTCTTAGAGATTAGACTAGAAAGTCTTTGAACACATCCTACAATCTAGAACAACCACAGCTCACGTCGTACAGGGCGTTTAGAATAGAAAGTCTCTTAGTAATTAGAATGCAAAGTCTCTTAGAGATTAGACTAGAAAGTCTTTGAACACATCCTACAATCTAGAACAACCACAGCTCACGTCGTACAGGGCGTTTAGAATAGAAAGTCTCTTAGCAATTAGAATAGAAAGTCTCTTAGAGATTAGAATAGAAAGTCTTTGAACACCTCCTACAATCTAGAACAACCACAGCTCAAGTCGTACAGGGCGTTTAGAATAGAAAGTCTCTTAAATATCATAATAGAAAGTCTCTTAGCAATTAGAATAAAAAGTTGATCGGCGAAACAGAGGAGCCCCATGGTAACGCAATGCTTTAAACGGATGTATATATATATATATATATATATATATATATATATATATATATATATACACATATCAGAGCAAGTAATGGGTCATCGGTCAGTGGGTCAAATGGGTCGCAAAATTGGATGGGTCAAATGGGTCATGGGTCAATGCTCCCTGATCCACGACCCATCCTTAGTTTCCGCCTGACTCTGAAAAAAACCCGTCGTTGCGCGATTTTTTTTATTTGCGACAAAAACAATACGTGCCCTTCCATACATTTGTATAGAAAAATCTATGTGAAACACTTACAGCGATTTTGCCAATTTATTTATAATTTAATTTAATTTAATTATTTAATTTTTCAATTTAATTTAATTTGATTATTTAATTTTATGTTCTAGTATGCTCAATCTCCGTAATTAAGGGGGTAGTCTACCTTCGATAACTTTTTTTTTTATTTCTCTTATTTTTAAAATGAAAATGTGCTTAAAGTATTACTATAAGTCTAGATAGGCATAATTAGAAGAAAAAAATAATTTTTGTTTGCTACATTTTCCCCACCGGGTTTTTTTGGGTTAAATTGGGCTGTGCATTGTGATCTAAAGTTATCCTCCGGTTTCCAAGATTACCGCCTTGAGACCAATCAAAATAAACCTATATGTAGTTGACTACTTTTTAGCCAATCAAATGTTACCAAAAACCTTGAGATCTACGTCATTTCTCGTGTTCTAGTTTCTATAATTAGTTTTAGCTTGGAAAACAATCAAGAAAATGACATAGTACACAGCGTCCTCTTTAAATCGATACCAAATATGATACGGTCGGTGGACAGAATAAAATAAAGTTAAAACATAAAAAACCTTGACATTAATTTAAACAATAGGTATTGAACGAAATCTTATTATTGTGAATCATTCGTATTAAAACTTACATTGTACATAATTATATTTATATTTAAACAAAATAAATGTTCAATTTGTATGGCATTCGTGTGTGCTGTAAAGATCAGTGTAAAATTGCATATTGATAAAAAAAATGAAATAACATGCGTTTGAAGTCTGTAATGTTAACTATTAATTAAAAACAACCAAGATGCTTCAACACTATATACAAAGTTTTATTTCTGGAACTAAGAATCACTTAAATAATATGCACACTGCACAATACAATTTAATTTAAACAAATTTACTGTCGTCGTTTAAGCTCCAAAATGAATATAGTAAAAAAAAATGTTCCCCTTTCAGACCTTGTGATTTATAGGGCAGAGGATGTAAAGGCCATCTGTTCCTGTTACATACGGTTAACGAGGGTGCAAAATGGCTAGCACAACGACTAACCGCCTTTACTTTTCCCCAACTGATGACAGCTACCTATTAGAGCTCCCCCAACTGAATATATCCATCCTTTAAATACTTTGTACCATTTATGTCTCTCTGCATTTGCATGCAAACAATCTCCTTTCGTCAAATTTCTCCACTGCTCCTTTTATGGTCCAGAAATTAATTTGTTGTTCCGAAAAACTTTCACAAAAAGAACCATGACCTTGCTCTGCAGACGCTGCAGAAATCTAAAAATAAACTTTATAGAACAGATGCTTTATGCTACGTGACAAATAAATGTTCCTTGCTTGCTGCGACGATTCTCGCCGAGAACAAAAGAAATTAAGCGACATAAGTAAAGAGAAAGAAAACGAAAGCTCCCCTAACAGCTAACTTTAAAATAAATGCATACACATGCACGAACTGTAGAGAAATATGCAGTTCAGAATTAGCTTGATTAGTCACACCAGATTCTGACCCGTCTAAAGACGAAACCAAAACCAGTGACTCACCTGGGCGCAGAGCGAAGCCTTCACGCGCCGAATAAACTCTAGACTCTAGATTAGTTTAGATATAGATTTATGTCTAACTCAAGATCTAGATCTATTTTATACTTTAACACATGAACGTACAAAATTAAGTCTATTCATTTCATATTTTAATCAAATATATGCAGGCCTACAAGCAAATGTTTTTATTTCAAAAAATGTATTAAAGTCCATTAGCTATTTGGATAGCTCCATTCATACTATTTTTACATTCACGCATTCCCTTTGCTTATAAAAGTATAATTTCGTTTAATTGTTTACAAAGCACTCTCAGTGACTATATTAAAAGTGATACGCAATTTAAGACCGCGGGCCACGGGTTAATTATGTCTAGTAAAACATCAGAAAAGAAGAGGACGTTCCGACCATAATTATCAAAGGGCCTAGCCGGTGTGTACTGCTGGTTATCTGTATAGCTTTATTATGCTTTATATAATTCAAACTGAGAAAAATCATTTTAATTTTTCATTTTAATATTTAAAAAAATCTTTAAGACCAAAATAACTAATTGGTTAAATTCTTTTTGCTTCTGTTGTAATTGTACAAATTTTAAGCTTGATCCGAAATCTGATGTGGGAAAAATAACTTGTATAAACTTTCTACCAGATAGACAGACAGAGTAACATGATAAGAAGTTTTGAAAAACGATAATTAATTTAAAAAAGAAAATGCCTTCCTTCTTGATGAGCTCCTGGATTTCTATTAATTTCTTTTTCTATTATTTTTTGCACCTCTTCGTAGTCAAATATTTTCTAGTAACAGTCAAAGCTTACTGTTTTTACT